AGCTGAAGGGAGGTGTTGACCCTAAGCTGGAATGTGTCCAGAGGAAGAGGGCGACTAAAATGATTCAAGGCCTGGAGAACACGCCCTATGAGGAGCGGCTTAAGGAGCTACTGGGCATGTTTAGCCTGCAGAAGCGAAAGCTGAAAAGAGACATGCTATCCATGTATAAATACGTGAGAGGAAGCCACAGGGAGGAGGAGGAGGAGGGAGCAAGCTTCTTTTCTGCTTCCCTGGAGAGAGACTAGGACGCAATGGAGCAATGGCTTCAAACTACAAGAGAGGAGATTCCACCTGAACATGAGGAAGAACTTCCTGACTGTGAGAGTCGTTCAGCAGTGGAACTCTCTGCCCCAGGGGGAGTGTGGTGGAGGCTCCTCCTTTGGATGCTTTTAAGCAGAGTCTGGATGGCCATCTGTCAGGGGTGATTTGAGTGCAATATTCCTGCTTCTTGGCAGAATGGGGTTGGACTGAATGATGGCCCATCGGGTCTCTTCCAACTCTAGGATTCTATGACTTTAGGACGCAATGGAACAATGGCTTCAAACTACAGGAGAGGAGATTCCACCTGAACATGAGGAAGGACTTCCTGACTGTGAGAGCCGTTCAGCAGTGGAACTCTCTGCCCCAGAGGGAGTGTGGTGGAGGCTCCTTCTTTGGAAGCTTTTAAGCAGAGGCTGGATGGCCATCTGTCAGGGGTGATTTGAGTGCAATATTCCTGCTTCTTGGCAGAATGGGGTTGGACTGGATGATGGCCCATTGGGTCTCTTCCAACTCTAGGATTCTATGATTTTAGGACGCAATGGAACAATGGCTTCAAACTACAAGAGAGGAGATTCCACCTGAACACAAAGAAGAACTCCCTGACTATAAGGAGAGCTGGAACTCTCTTCCCCAAAGTGTGGTGGAGGCGCCTTCTTTGGGGGCTTTCAAACAGAGTCTAGATGGCCATCTGTTGGGGGTGCTTCTTGGCAGGCGGTTGGATTGGATGGCCCGTGAGGTCTCTTCCAACTCTATGATGCTATGATTCCAAGGCCTCCCCTGCTGTTGCTGCAGAGAATCCCCGGTTTCTTCCACCTTCCAAGCTTCTGCTTGAAGGCACAAAGTGGTAGAAAACACACGACTCCTTCAATTCAGCTTTCGCTGGAAAGCAGCACTCATCTTCACTATTTACACGATCTTTATTATTTGCACAATATATAGACAAGAGAACCTTCAATCACACCCGCTGACATCTCAGCACGCTGCAAGAAGCACCTTCCTTTCTTGTCAGCCCTTCTTCATCCGGCCAGCACAGGAACCTCCAAAAGCGACGTTCTACCAATACTACACATCTCTATGTACTAACGCATGCATTACTGAAATCACAGAGTTTAAACTATAAGCAATTTTCATATCATACTAACAGTTACATCTTGGGTCCAGGCAACTTGACTGATCGCATCTGCTCTGACAAACCAGCCCGGGCACTGTGGTCATCGGAGGAGGCCCTGCTCTCGCTCCCACCCCCATTATCCCAAGCACGGCTGGTGGGAACAAGGGAGAGGGTCTTCTCCATGCTGCCTCCCCCCCCCCCCACCAACCATCTCTGGAACTCCTTCCCTAAAGAAACCAAGCTGCCCCCCTCCCTCCTCTCCTTCAAAAAACAGCTGCAGACTGACTTTTGCAAGCTAGCGTATGGAGAGGAGGAGGAGGATTAGATGGTGCAGAGACCAGTGCCGGGCATTCCTCGTCCACGCCGGCCCAATGACCTCATTTGACTACATAGAATCATAGAATCCTAGAGTTGGAAGAGCCCTCCTGGGCCATCATCCAGTCCAACCCCATTCTGCCAAGAAGCAGGAATATTGCATTCAAATCACCCCTGACAGATGGCCATCCAGCCTCTGTTTAAAAGCTTCCAAAGAAGGAGCCTCCACCACACTCCGGGGCAGAGAGTTCCACTGCTGAACGGCTCTCACAGTCAGGAAGTTCTTCCTCATATTCAGATGGAATCTCCTCTCTTGTAGTTTAACCTACTCACAACGTTTTGTGAACCCTGGCTAGTTTTTGCACACTAATGTGAATGTTTTTATTTATATTTATGTTATTATATAATTTTAAGTTTAATTTGCTGATGTTAGGCTTTAATTTGAGGTTAGGTTTTAATGTTACTTTCATATTTGGGGTTTTTTTCCCGGGATTTTATGTTCATATCGTGTGTGTCAGGTCCCGGCAGATTTTAGAATACAACCACGCTCACAAGGAGGCTCCTTGGATGCACATTTATTATTCAGTCTTACCAGGAAGGAACGAAAGCTAGTTCTGACGGTTTCCTGCCAAAGCCGTGGTCTATGACCCGTGATCTCTTTCCCACTCCCCCTCCTTCTCTTGTTTCCGGCCACATCCCATTCCCAGAGGACACAGCGCATCTTCCCCGGGGTCTCCCCCTTTCTGCCCTGATCAGGCCTTCCCTATTTCACTCCCATGTCAGGAGGAGGATTTCAGCTCTCTGTTGACTTACGCTCACAGAACACCATCCTGACTCTGTGTTTTAGGCAGGCACCAAATGTTTGCCATTGCTATTTATTTGCTTATTTAGCCGTATTTATATTCTGCCCTTCTCACTCAGGATGGAGCACAATGCACACATACACAATGCAAACATTCAATGCCGTTTTTGACATGCAAGACAGACAGGTCATTCAGGAATTTCTTCTACTTTGGATCCTGGAGGTTGCTCAATGCGGCCACAGGGAAGTTGTCGCTTTGTCCACTATGACACCAGGTCTTTCAATCGTAGCATTTCCTCCTTGCTCTCCGGCATTTTTATGGTGTCATAAATTAACCTCCCCACTTTAAGCAGTCCTTAATTTCTCTACTCACAGCACAGCTGCTTAGGTGAAGAGTAAGCTGGGCTATTTAACAGTCAGGAGCTCAACCCTGACTCGGGCTTCGAACTTGCCACCTTTCGTTTGGCAGTGATTTATTGCAGGTGATTAACCAGCTGTGCTCTCATGTTGGAATCTGCCCTAAGTCCCCTCAGTGTGTGTGAGAGAGAGATAGGGTGGAACGCACGTTTATTATTATTATTATTATTATTATTATTATTATTATTGTGGAACCATGTTAGTGAACTAATTCTGCACATGAGTCTATTGTATCTCTTTCAAGCCATGGCAGAGGGAGAGGATCATTATACATATCCTTTGCATAGGAAGGAAGTGAAGTAAGAGAAGAAAGTACATCTTCTCTAACAAGAGTAATAATAATAGTATTTTATTTGTGTTCCGCTCTATCTCCCGGGGGCGCTCGGAGCGGAATAACAGATGATCCTTCAGAATCTGCATCGATTTCTTTTATCAATGCAGGGTTGTGGAGCAGATAGTTAGTAGCCAGCTGCATTAAATCACTACTGACCGAGAGGCCACAAGTTTGAAGCCAGCCCGGGTTGGCATGAGCTCCCAACCATTAATAGTCTAGCTTGCTGTTGACCTATGCAGCCCGAAAGACAGTTGCATCTGTCAAGTAAGAAATTTAGGTACCGCTTTATGCGGGGAGGCTAATTTAACTAATTTACGACACCATAGAACCTTCCAGCAGCATGTAAAAGAATGAGGAAGTACTCCATCAAGGTCTGAGTGAGGCCGGAAAGATGGAATGTTAAGTTGCCTCTGAGTCGGTCTATATATGTTGTATGTCTAATGGAATTGAATGTTTGCCATGTATATGTGCATTGTGATCTACCCTGAGTCCGCTTCAGGGTAAGAAGGGTGGAATATAAATACTGTAAGTAAATAAAGAATAAATATCTTCTATTGTCCCTCTTTTCTTAAATAAACAAATAATAACTGCGAGATCTCACAACCTCTGAGGATGCTTGCCATAGATACAGGCGAAACGTCAGGAGAGAATGCTTCTATAACATGGCCGCATAGCCCGAAAAACCTACAACGCAGTGATTCCAGCCTTGAAAGCCTTCGAAAATAATAACTATTGATGCCCCACCCCCTTACAAAACAGCACATATTGGTGCTGTGAAACACGTAAATTACAAGTAAAATATATCGATATTAGTAACGGCACAATATCAAAGCATAAACAACACTTACAGAAGACAAAACCCAGCTTAATTAGATATTCAATTAAAACGCAACGATAGTAATTAAAATGGAAACTACTAAAATCCAAGTGCCACAAAGTCCTTCCAAATTTCCTTCTTTTCATTTTATCCATTAACTTATTCACGCTCTATTTTTTCCTACTATTAATTGCAGCCGAAATAGAATCTGCTGATAATGATCTCTGTGACGAACCACATGGAGCAGCTTTGCAGGAATCTAGACAGCCCTGTGCTCTCATCCCGTGCCCTTGTTCCTTGGCTACACTTTGCACTAATATTCCCTCGTTCTCGGTTACAGCTTGGCCGTGTTTTAAGGCAGTTCTCTCACCATAGGTTTTTGGGCGCTCTTCGGAGTTTAAAAGGCTGATCCATATGCTCTTGGTTTCACTTTCTGTATTCTCCTGTGTTGTTTTAGGCACTTTGTGTCATATGCAAGCCGCCCTGAGACCCTTCGGCAAGATGGAGGTTGGGTACAAAAATAGAGTTGTTGTTGTTATATTATAATCATTATTGTTATGATTATAATACAGTAAAAATTACATGGAGCATATATCTATATATTATATACATATCTTGAACCTCTTATATGGAGTTGGTTTACCCTCCCCGGTGGCACAGCAGGTTAAACCGACCTTGGAATTGTCTACAGACCACGCCAGCCCTTCAGCTCAGGAATGGAGATGAGCGCAGAGTCCCAGAGTCGGACACGACTGGACTTCATGTCAGGAGAAAACCTTGACCGTTACCCTTATCTTAACCTCCAGGATGCCAGTTAAACGGAATTATCTGTCAGAGTGAAACCCTTGGGGTCTATGCACAGCGGAATTGAGGTTACCAGATCACACAGACGCAAAACAGGACTAACTGCAGATTTCAGTTCCAAAAATAACAAKGTTTACTTAGCACATCTTAAGACAGGTCTACTTCAAGCGGACTACATCATGAACACTACAAAGCACAGCACACAACAGTTCTCAGGCCATCTGCTTATCTCATTTCTCAGGCTGGCTGGATCCTCCCTTTTTCTTCCCAGGCAGGAAAAAATCTTATCTAACTTCTGTCAAGGTCTTTACTCTTTCTGCCCCTAGCAACAACAATTCTAGCATACAACTGAACATAACTGAATCCATTTGGAATACATATGAACATCATTGTTAAACATATTGAAACACATTGAAAAACATACATGCATACTTTCAATAATCCTGACATTATCATGTCACAAAACGATGTATGTCGYAAAAGGGTATCAGCAACATGAAAAGTTTGCTCTCTTAGAGAGTGTCTCTGGGGCCAGATACCACTGTTCCCTCCAATGTGAATGCTATGTCTACGTAGAGTTCAACTCTCCAAGAAGCTCTTTTCACACGCCGTAGGGTTTCTCCCCAGGGTGAGTTCACTGATGTGAACCTAGACCTGATCTGCAGCTGAAGCTTTGTCCACACTCTAGGCATGTCTAGGGTTTCTCCCCAACGTGAATCCTTTGAAGTGTATGTATACTTCCATTCTGAGTGAAGCTCTGTCCACTCTCTAGGCATTTATCAGGTTTCTCCCCAATGTGAGTCCTTTGATGTCTATATGTAGATTTCCAGTCTCACTGAAGCTCTGTCCACACTCCAGGCATGCATAGGGTTTCTCCCCAGTGTGAGCCCTCAGATGTGTGTGTAGATCTCCACTCAGGGCAACGCTGTGTCCACACTCCAGGCATGTATAGGCTAATTTATTTGTACTCCACTGCTGCTATGGTACATAAGAAAGAACAACCATGGTAGCATTTTAGGTATTTTGATCGTTTCCTCAGGGTCTGTGCCTTAATTGTCAATTATGTTATCAGTATAATTATGTTTATTGGATTATTCATATTTTGTTTTTTTATGTTGATCTTAATTTATCTTTTGTTATAAGTTTATGTTATTATTTTGTTTTATTTTTAAGATGCTAGTATTCACATAGGGCATTGAATGCTAGATTTTTTGTTTTTGTGTAAACCGCCCTGAGTCCCCATGGGGAGAGACGGTGGTCTATAAAAGAAGTTTTAATGCATTATTATAGTATATATATTATTTCCCCCCAATGTGAGTCCTTTGATGTCTACGTAGGTTTTTACTCCAAGCAAAACTCTTTCCACACTCCAGGCATTTAAAGAGTTTCTCCCCAGTGTGAATCATTTGATGTTTATGTAGAGTTGACCTCTGAGAGAAGCTCTGTCCACACTCCAGGCATTTAAAGAGTTTCTCCCCAGTGTGAGTCCTTTGATGTGAACGTAGATGTCCGCTCAGAGAGAAGCTCTTTCCACACTCAAGGCATTTAAAGGGTTTCTCCCCAGTGTGAGTCCTTTGATGTGAATGTAGAGTTGAACTGTGAGTGAAGCTCTGCCCACACTCCAGGCATTTATATGGTTTTTCCCCAGTGTGAGTCTTCTGATGTGAACGTAGATGTTAATTCTCAGTGAAGCTCTCTCCACACCCCAGGCATTTAAAGGGTTTCTACCCAGTGTGAATCCTTTGATGTGAATGTAGACTTCTATTCTCAGTGAAGCTCTGTCCACACTCCAGGCATTTATAGGGCTTCTCTCCAGTGTGAGTCCTTTGATGTGTACGTAGATTTCCACTGTGAGTGAAGCTCTGTCCACACTCCAGGCATTTAAAGGGTTTCTCCCCAGTGTGAGTCCTTTGATGTCTACGTAGAATTCCACTCTGAGTGAAGCTCTTTCCACACTCCAGGCACTTAAAGGGTTTCTCCCCAGTGTGAGTCCTTAGATGTGTACGTAGATTTCCCCTATCAGTGAAACTCTTTCCACACTCCAGGCATTTATAAGGTTTCTCCCCAGTGTGAATCCTCTGATGTGAACGTAGAGTTCCATTCTCAGTAAAGCTCTTTCCACACTCCAGGCATTTATAGGGTTTCTGCCCAGTGTGAGTCCTTTGATGTGTACGTAGATGTGAATTCTGAGTGAAGCTCTGTCCACACTCCAGGCATGTATAGGGTTTCTCCCCAGTGTGAATCCTCTGATGTGAACGTAGACTTCCATTCTCAGTGAAGCTCACTCCACACTCCAAGCATTTAAAGGGTTTCTCTCCAGTGTGAGTCTTTTGATGTAAATGTAGATTTCCCCTATGAGTGAAGCTCTGTCCACACTCCAGGCATTTATAAGGTTTCTCCCCAGTGTGAATCCTCTGATGTCTACGTAGAGTTCCATTCTCAGTAAAGCTCATTCCACACTCCAGGCATTTATAGGGTTTCTCCCCAGTGTGAGTCCTTTGATGTTTACGTAGAGTTGAACTGAGAGTGAAGCTCATTGCACACTCCAAGCATTTAAAGGGTTTCTCTCCAGTGTGAATTCTTTGATGTGAATGTAGACTTCCATTCCGAGAGAAGCTCTGTCCACACTCCAGGCATGTATAGGGTTTCTCCCCAGTGTGCGTCCTCTGATGTGAACGTAGGCTTTTACTCCAAGCAAAACTCTTTCTACACTCCAGGCATTTATAGGGTTTTTCCCCAGTGTGAGTCCTCTGATGTGAACGTAGAAGTGAACTCCAAGCAAAACTCTTTCCACACTCCAAGCATGTATAGGGTTTCTCCGCCATATCAACAGTAATAAGGGTGTTTATTGCAATACAGATACTTGATTCCTTTTTTCTTTCTTATCTGTGGGATCAAGAATTCTGCAAGATCATCACCTTGAGAGGATTTCTTCCTATGTTATTGGTTTCTTTACTGCATTCAAGAGGTGGCTCCATAGAATCCTCATTTACCTGGTTACAAAAGAAGTGAAAGATTATTATTATTATTATTATTATTATTATTATATTGATTTATAGCCCGCTTTATCTCCCTCATGGATACTCAAAGCAGCTGAACATAAAACATCAGCATACAATTTAAAACATAAAAATATGCAGACATTAAAACAGAACTAAATATAAACGGTATTTAAAAATTCCCAGATAAAACCATTAATAATAACAATAAATAAACTTTAATAAACATTAAACATACTCAATGTTAAAAACCACAACACCACCTGAATTGATCTTTAAAATCTTCTTAAAAGCCTGCCTGAATAAAAAAGTTTTAGCCTTCTGCAGTAAGGACAACAGCAAGGAGGGGGCCATTTGGGCTTCCTTGAGGAGGGAGTTCCAGAGTTGAGGGGCAGACACCGAGAAGGCCCTCTCTCTCATTCCCACCAACCCAGCTTGAGATGGACGTGGGATCAAAGGAAGGGCCTCTCGTGAAGATCTCGGTGACCAGGCAGGTCGATACAAGGCAGTGTTTCCCAACCTAGGGGACGGGGCCCTTGGGAGGCAGCAAGGGGGCTTTCAGAGGGGTCACCAAAGACCATCATAAAACACATATTTCTGATGGTCTTAGGAACCCTTTTGAAGATCTCTCTGCCTGTCCTTCTCTTCCTTTTCGGTGTTGGTGAACTACAACTTCCAGAATTCAAAAACAGCCCCCCAACCCCACCAGTATTCAATGTTGGCCATGTAGGTAGTGCGCCAAGTTTGGTGCAGATCCATTGTGGGCTGGGTTCAGAGTGCTCTTTGATTGTAGGTGAATCCCAGTAACTACAACTCCCAAATGCCAAGCTCTATTCTCCCCAAATTCCGCCAGTGTTCACATTTGGCTACACTGAGTATGCGTACCAAGTTTGGTCCAGATCCATCATAGCCTGAGTCCACAGTCCTCTCTGGATGTAGGTGAACTACAACTCCAAAACTTAAGGTCAATGCCTACTAAACCCTTCGAGTATCTGCTGTTAGTTATGGGAGTTATTTGTGCCAAGTTTGATTCAATTCAATCGTTGGTGGAGGTCAGACTGCTCTTTGATTTGAGGTGAAGTATAAATCCCAGCAACTACAACTCCCAAATGACAAAATTAACTCCCCAGCCCCACTGGTATTCAAATTTGGGCAGTGAAGATCATTGCCACGTGGAAACCGATGTCCTCAATGCGGGAGAACATGTGGGTCAAGACTAGGGCTCCACAGCCATCTGCAGACCCACCGCCAAGACACCACATCTGGAAGACCCTCATCCTCGAGCCACGAGGGACTGCCTAATAAGTAAGTAAATTTGGGTGTATCGGGTATTTGTGCCAAATTTGGTCCAGTGAATAAAAACACATTCTGCATATCAGATATTTACCTTACGATTCATAACAGCAGCGGAATTAAAGCGTCAGCACTGAGTCTAGGTGGACCCCCAAACTGCGGACCTGTGATTTCAGGGGGAGTGCAACCCCGTCCAGCACAAGTTGCCACCCAATACCCTGGTCGGCCGAGCAACTGACCTGGAGGACTTCTGTCTTGTCAGGATTGACCCTCAGCTTATTCTCCCTAATCCAAGTCGCTACAGCAGCCTGGCACTGGTCCAGTATCCTCGGGGCTTCCTTGGAGTCAGATGGAAAAGAGTAGTGGAATTGGGTGTCATCTGTGTAGAGATGGCACCGCACTCCAAAACTCAGGATTACCTCTCCCAGCGGTTTCATGGCTCAAGAGCAGTACGTGTGAAAAAGATCTTGGGACAAGTTAAACATGAGCCCACAATATGATATGGTGGCAAAAAAGCCAATAGCCTGCATCAATAGGAGTCTAGTGTCTAGATCTAGAGAAGTCATGCTCCCCATGCTCTATTCTGCTTTGGTTAGACCACACCTGGAATATTGTGTCCAATTCTTGGCATCACAATTATTGAGAGATATTGACAAGCTGGAATGTGTCCAGAAGAGGGGGACTAAAATGATCAGGGATCTGGAGAACAAGCCCTATGAGGAGCGGCTTAAAGAGCTGGGCATGTTTAGCCTGAAGAAGATTAGGCTGAACTTCCTCACTGTGAGACCCATTCAGCAGTGGAACTCTCTGCCCCGGTGTGTGATGGATGCTCCTTCTTTGGAAGCTTTTAAACAGAGGCTGGATGGCCATCTGTTGGGGGTGCTTTCAATGCGATTTTCCTGCTTCTTGGCAGAATGGGGTTGGACTGGATGGCCTACCAGGTCGATGATTTCCTTTAACTTTGTATATTGCCCCTTCTTTCTCTAAATAACCAAATAATAACTGTATTGATGCCTGTAAAAAGGATTCTTACTAACAGTCCCAAACGCTAGGTTCTTGTGACCTCACTACCTCTGAGGATGCTTGCCATAGATGTAGGCGAAACGTCAGGAGAAAATGCCTCTAGAACATGGCCATATAGCCCGAAAAAACCCACAAGAACCTATTGATTCCAGCCATGAAAGCCTTCGACAATACATAGTCCCGAACGCTGCTCACAAATTCTAAAAGATTATTTAAATTCAATTATTTGTATGGAGGCTGTTTAAGCTTGGCCACCAAACTCTGTATTCTGAGGTAATTTTCGGTGATCACTGGCTACCACCACACTTAACAGGAATGTTTAGCTTTTGTGTTTACCACCACACTTAACAGGAATGTTTAGCTTAACAGGAATGTTTAGCCCCCATTGTGGGCTGGGTTCAGAGTGCTCTTTGATTGTAGGTGAATCCCAGTAACTACAACTCCCAAATGCTAAGCTCTATTCTCCCCAAACTCCGCCAGTGTTCACATTTGGGTATACTGAGTATGAGTACCAAGTTTGGTCCAGATCCATCATAGCCTGAGTCCACAGTCCTCCCTGGATGTAGGTGAACTACAAATCCAAAACTCAAAGTCAATGCCTACCAAACCCTTCCAGTATTTGCTGTTGGTCATTGGAGTTCTGCGTGCCACATTTGGTGCAACTCCATTGTTGTTGAAGTTCAGAATGCTCTTTGATTGAAGGTGAAGTATAAATCCCAGCAACTATAACTCCCAAATGACAAAGTCAATCCCCCCCAACCCCACCGGTATTCAAATCTGCGCAGTGAAGATCATGGAAACCTATGTCCTCAATGCGGGAGAAGATGTGGGTCAAGACTAGGACTGCACAGCCATCTGCAGACCCACTGCCAAGACACCACATCTGGAAGACCCTCATCCTTGAGCTACGAGGGATCGCCTAAGTAAGTAAACCCACCACCTTGGACGTAATACCTTCCCATACAAGTTCCACCAGCACTGCCTCCAAAAAATCTTGCAAATCTCTTGGGAAGACATGTGGCCAATGTCAGCATGTTGGAAGAAGCAAAGACCACCAGCGCTGAAGTGCTGCTCCTCTGCCAACAACTCCGCTGTACCGAAGGAAGCAGAGATGCCCGACCACCGTCTCCCAAAGCAGTTGCTCTACTCCAAACTCAAGACCCGAAAATGGAATGTTGGAGGACAGGAAAAGAGAGTTAAAGATGGGCTCAAAGCCAGCCGTAAAAACTGTGGCACAGACACCACGCTCATCAACCTGAAGTTCCCAGAAGACATCACAGCCTCTTCCACCACTGCCTCACCACAAGCTCCTTCCAGGAGGACAGTGATTTCTATGAGCAGAAAGAGGGAGTAGCCATGGGGAGGGAGCCCTCTCAGCCCCGTCATTGCCAACTTCTACATGGAACACTTTGAAAAACAGGCCCTGGGGGGAAAAAAGCTCAAATATGTGGATGACTCCACCATTAGGAGCCATGGAGAAGAACTCAACACATTCCTGAACTTCCTGAACAGCATCCGCTCAAACATCCAATTCACCAAGGAAAAAGAAAACGAAGGAAAACTGCCATCTCTAGATGTCCCAGTCACCCACAAACCAGATCAACAATTGGGTCAGAGTTTACAGAGAACGTACACACACGGATAGATACGGACATCAAAGCTCCAACCATCACCCAAGTCAAATAAAGAAGCACCGTGAAAGCCCAGGCAGACCGTGTAAGAAGACTCTGCAAAGCCCTCCTCCTCCAAGGAGAACGGAAGAACCTCAACTGGGTTTTACAGGCCAATGGAGACCACCACAGGCATCAGAAGAGCTGCAAGACAACCGAGAACAAGCCATGAGAGTTGAGACCAAGATCCACCCAGAGGAAAAGGGTTCTTGCCAGACATCAAGGGAACCACTAACCGCAGAGGGAAACTGATGAGGAAACACAACATACAAACTATCTCCAGACCCACCAAGGAAATCCAACCAGTGCTCCACTCAGCAAAGGACAAGAGGGACCCTCTCACCTCGGAAGGAGCCTACTGTATACCATGCAGAACAAGTCTACAGAGGGACCACCAAATGCAGCGGAATTGCCCAAACACGTATCAAGGAACATGAGAGGCACTGCAAACTACATCAACCAGAGAAGTCAGCCATAGCAGAGCACTTGATGAACCAACCTGGACACAGCGTATTTGAGAACACAGAAATGTTGGACCACTCTGACCGCCACATCAGGCGACACAGAGAAGCCACTGAGACCCACAAGAAGCAGGTGGACAATTTCAAGAGAATGGAAGGAAACATGAAAATGAGCAAAATCTGGCTACCAGTCATAAAAATCCTCTAAAATCAGGACAGTCAATAAAGTATACCACTCAAATACAGGGGAATTCCAAACAGGAAACAATCAGGGCCAGCTAATCACCTCTCAACAAAGGATTCCCCCCAGGCAGTAAGAAGCCAGACCTTGAAAACCGCTAGGCCATTAAATGCTAGTCAAGGTGGCCAGTTGCAGCCTTCACACTTGCCTCCAACACACAAAGATTTCTTTCTCCCACCCCGGAGGCTTTGAATCAGAGGCTGGATGGCCATCTGCAGAGGTACTTTGATTTGTTTGCATGTAATATTTGCACATTGGTACGTTATAAATTGTATGCTGGTGCTTTTATGTTAAGCTGGTGATGTTCAGGTGAGGTTTGGGAGGGAGGATGGATCACGGATGATGGTTTCTGTAGTACCTCCACCTGATTTGGCCCCCGCCTCCACAGACCACTGCAACCCCCACGAATGATGGACCTGGACCAAACATGGGTCGCAGACCCCACATTACCCACAATACATCCTGGCTAGGTTTTGCCAATGGGATTTGCAGCCCCTTCACCTGCCTCCAGGGACCACTGAAACTGCACCACTAATGGACCTGGACTCTGGCCCCCAATGACCCACTTTACATCTGGTTGAGCCTTGGGGGAGGGTGGAACATGGATGATAGGGTTTGCAGTACTTTCTCCCTCATCAACAGACTGCAAACCCCCCACATATGACTGAACTGTGACCTGTCCCCCTCCCCACCAATGGACTGGAGTTAAACTGGGTGCTGAGAACTCTCCTGACCAACTGGGCATACTGGGG